CATTCATCAAGGTGGAGGTGAAGTATTTTCTACTGTAGGGTTTAAGAGTTGGAATAAGAAGAAAAGTTTTAAGCAACATATTGGTGGGCCGAATAGCACTCATAATCAGGCAAAAAAGAAAAGTGAAGATCTAATGCGACAACAACAGTCTATTATATCTGCATTTGAGAGACAATCTGATCAAGTTAAGCATGAGTATTGGCTTCGCTTGTCTGCCTCAATTGATGTAGTAAGACTTCTTTTGAATCAAGGATTTGCATTTCGGGGTCATGATGAATCTAAATCATCACTTAATAGAGGTAATTTTCTTGAAATTCTCTCATGGTATGCGAAACATTGTGATAAAATTTATGATTATGTATTGGAACGTGCTCCTCAGAATGACCAAATGACTTCTCCAATGATTCAAAAAGATATTGTCACTGCATGTAAGATAGAAACCATCAAAGCTATTATCCAGGAATTAAATGGTGACTATTTTTCTTTATTGGTTGATGAATCTTTTGATGTGTCATGTAAGGAGCAAATGGCTATCGTTTTACGATATGTTGATCGAATGGGATTTGTGGTGGAGCGATTGATTGATATTGTACATGTTCAAGATACTAGTGCTTTATCTTTAAAGGGGGCAATTGTCAATGTACTTGCTCAACATTCATTGAGTCTATCCTATGTGCGCGGACAATGTTATGATGGGGCAAGTAATATGCAAGGCGAGATGAATGGCCTTAAAATGTTGATTAGGCAAGAAAGTATCTCAGCTCACTCTATTCATTGTTTTGCTCATCAACTTCAATTAACTCTTGTTGCAGTTTCTAAAAAATGTATTCAAGTGGGAGAACTTGTATTATTGGTTTCAAATGTTTTGAATGTCTTGGGAGCTTTTTTTAAGCGTATGGATAAATTTCGAGATTCTCAAAAAAAAAGAATTCAAGAGGCATTAGATATGGGTGAACTTACAACCGGTACCGGCTTGCATCAAGAACTTGGTCTTATAAGAGCCGGTGATACTCGTTGGGGATCTCACTACAAATCTTTTAGCAATTTTATTCTTATGTTTGGATCTATTGTTGATGTTCTTGATGCACTTGTTGTTGATGCATATTCTACCGATGAAAGAGCTAAGGCAACAGGATATCTCGAAGCTTGTCAAACATTTAAGATTGCTTTTATGTTGCATTTGATGAGAGATATCTTAGGAATCACAGATGAGCTCAATAAATCCTTGCAAAAGAAAGAACAAGATATTGCAAATGCTATGCTATTGGTTGAAGTAGCAAAGAGAAGGTTGCAAATGCTAAGAGATGATGGATGGGATGCACTTATTAATAAGGTATCCACATTTTGTATCAAGTATAACATTTTGTTACCTAATTTTGATGAGCCATATGTTAATTCTGGAAGATCAAGGCATAAACCCTCCGATTATACGGTCTTACATTATTATCGTGTTGAAGTATTTTGTAAGATTATTGATTGGCAGCTTCAAGAACTCAATGATCGTTTCAATGAGGTGACTACTGATTTGCTTCATGGAGTTGCTTGTTTGAATCCAGTTGACTCATTTTCAGTTTTAACATCAGAAAAATATGAGAATGGCTAAGTTATATCCTAATGACTTTGATGAGTTTAGTATGAATGCTCTTGAGAATCAACTTGCCACTTACATTATTGATGTTAGTGATATGGATGAAAGGTTCTCCAATCTTAATGGACTTTGTGATCTCTCAAGAAAATTAGTTGAGACAAAGAAGAACCTAAACTTTCCTCTTGTATTCCGCTTAGTGAAATTTGCTTTGCTTTTACCAGTTGCCACTGCATCCGTTGAAAGAGCTTTTTCGGCAATGAAGTTTATTAAAAATGCCTTGCGGAGTTGGATGAATGATGAGCTTTTGAGCGGTTGTCTAGTTCCTTTTGTAGAAAAAGATGTATTTATTAATATTTCTAATGATACTATTGTAAAAACATTTCAAGAGATGAAACCGCGTCGAGTACGGTTGTAATAATGTAATTGTGTTTTGCTTTTATTAGTAAAATTTATTTTTGTTGAATTTTTTGTGTGCATACTACTTTATATTTTGACACCCCTCAATCTAAATCCTGGCTCCGCCACTGGGTAGAGTTCGATCACCATATGTGAAATTTACCCTATGTGATGTATAATTTACCAGAGGACTTAAAAATCAAGAAACATAAATTGAATAGTGAAGGAAAGGTTATATAAAATGGCAGAGCCAGCACTTTGACTAAAGGGTGTCGAAATATAAAATAGTAAAATTGCGTAGAAGTCAAGGAGTGTCAATATGTAAGATATATACATAAAAAGTATTTTTACTTTAGCTATACAGTGTAATTTTTTGACGAAGAGGTGTTGGTCGACATCCCTCAACTATACTATATACAACTACCTAGCTAAATTAGTCATTTATATCGATTATAAGTAAATTTTAAATATCAGATAGTTAAATAAAAAAGATATAGACAATTTTTTGTATGGAAATAAGAGATCAAGCTAAATTACACAATTCAAATATGGCTTCAAACAATCCACGCATGTTTCAACTTTCACGTGACAAAAATATGTTTTGTGACTTTACTAATTTACCCTATGTGATGTATAATTTACCAGAGGACTTAAAAATCAAGAAATATAAATTGAATAGTGAAGGAAAGATTATACACTATATACAACTACCTAGCTAATTTAGTCATTTATATTGATTGTAAGTAAATTTTGAATATCAGATAGCTAAAAAAAAAGATATAGCCAATTTATTTTTTTATGGAAATAAAAGATCAAGCTAAATTACACAATTCACTTTCCCATAGCAAAATAAATATTCATCATGAATCATACTAAGAGGCATAGCAAAATGCCACTTAAATTCCTATATATAAACAGAGTGAAAAATATAATCTAAAATTACAATTTTTTCCCTCATTAGATCAGCATGATCATTTTTCTTGGGCTTCCAAATAGGGACAAAGCTAGAGGACTGAAACAATCACGTTTACGCCATTGTTGTGCCAATCCACTACCAAATGGACAGTCAAATCTAATCTGTCTTTTATCATGGTTCAATTTTTTCTACTCCACTTTTCTTCTTTTATTGGTGTACTCAAAATTCATTTCTTCATTAATTCGAATTCAAGTTACATGTGGTCCACACCATCATCTAAGGCTTAGAAATCATGTTAACAACATAGTGAAAGATCTTTGTTAGATATACTCTTGTACCCTACATTCTACCACGACGGTTCATTTTTCCACTACTCCACTTCTTTTTATCTTGATATATACTCGAAATTTATTTTTTAATTAATTTGAATTCGAGCTACGTACGTGGGTCCATGCCTCATCTAGGGCTGCTAGTGGAAGATTATTGATCAAATGCAAGTATTTTATTTTTGTTTTCATTGGGTAATTTAAATACGTTGTTCATCTTGTATTCTTAAGATACTTGGAACAAAACTTTAAAGAACTTGGTAAGAAACAACAAAGTTTAAAGAGTATTTTCAAAACTAGAAAATTAAAATTAGTAGAGAAAATAGAACCAGAAACAGATTAGAAACAATATAAAAATATTTTTCTCAAAGAAAGAAAATCGAGCCCACTGAATGCACAGTGTCCCTTTAAGGAAATTATTCTCCTCAAGTACCCGAGGTTAATGGAATATATCCTCCTAGGATAGAACGATCTTACTCACGGGTGTATCGATACCTAAAACCATGGTGTCAGCGAACCACTCAATGGTTAGTACACTTAGAATACTAGATTTAATAGCAGTAGTAGAAGAAGTCTAGAAAAATTCATTCAACTAAAATGAGAGGAAATTACTCAATTTATAGAAAACAAGGGGTAGTGTGAAAAAGTTCTTATTGTGCCTTATCGGAAAGGTCACAAACCTTTGGAAAAGTCACAATCTTTCGAAAAGGTCACAACCTTTCATAAAAGTCACAACTTTTCATAA